TTTTAAATAGTTAGACCGCCTATTGTAATTACAAAATGTGTATGCACTTTAAATTTCTCCCTTTCATGATATTACTTCTCAGCGTGTACTAGACCCGGGGTCTACTATATGGTTTAAAAATTGGTGGAATGTAACAGACCCGGATCTTGTATACGGCACTTTACGGTAATCAGTGCCTAATTCTAGGTTAATGCGTTAGCCTATCATATGATGTTCATCATATTACACAAACGCGTATGTTGTTGGTAACATTAAAGCATAATTCTAAATTCTATTTCTGATAAGATTTACATTATATATATGCACGTATATCAAAAAAGTAAATTTTGTCAAGATTTTTACGATTGAAGCACATCAGGAAAGTAATTTTTGTATCACTTGCCGTAATACTTAGGATCCTCCGCTACGCTCCGGACAACAATTCTTCAGATATCATCATGAAATCGTTACATTATATCCTTTTTTTTGTTATATTTAGCTCGGTATATTTTTTTGTTATTTGCCAAAATGTACCTAGCCCTCGAAGTGAACAGGCTAGCACATTAGTTGGTACTAGACTTTATTTCTTTGGTGGAGGAGGCACTTCTTTTACAAGTGTTTATAATGAAGTTTGGTATCTTGATTTATCGAGTTCATTTAATATTTCTACGCCCCCGTGGCATAGTGATGCTGCAATGTCAGTAGGATATAACTTAGGTAGCTCTTGCCTTAGTCCTGTTGATAATACTACGGTTTTTTTAGTCGGAGGAAGAACATGGATAAATAATACAGAAGATTATTCATATACATCATCAGTATATAAATTTGATTCTAAGACTTCACAATGGACAACACCAACTATTAATAATTTTAATTCTAGCTTTGCAACTCGTAACGATATACAAAGTGTTGTTGATAATAATGGAAAAATTTTTATTTTTGGTGGAGGAAATTTTAATAGTTCAACAACTATTTGGTATAGTGATATGAATATACTTGATATCACTACTATGACTTGGTCAACACTAACTCAGTCTCAGACTGCCCTTGCTTATGCCGATTATACTGCCACATTATTACCAAATGGTCTTATAGTTTATATTGGTGGGCGTAGTAAGTCAACAGCAAGCTCACAAGCAAATCTTAATGATATGGCTCAGGTATAGAATAATAGTCTTAGTATAATGCATTTTATAATTGTTGTGGCTGATTCTAAAATTGGTTGATGCTGAAATTTTGGCCTATTTTGATATGAGTTTTTAAAAATTTTTTGGAGTATATATATATATATATATATTAGATAATTAAAGAGTAGATGTGGATTTCGCAGGGCTTACATTTTCAAATTGTGCTCCCGAATTTCAGCATCTTCCACGACAATGATTTTCAAATATTTATTTTAAGTTTTACTTTGATTAATATTAAAATACAGATTCAAGTATTTGACACAAAATCTTACACCTGGTCTACTAAAGTAATGTATGCAATTAATATTATTTCTGATAATAATTATATCTAATTTTTTACAATATATGTTCTTATTTAGCCCGCTAGTGGTTCTACTATAGCATCTCGTGTAGGTCATTCTGCTGTTTTAAGTACGTATGCCACAATAATAACATTAACAGTTAAATTTGGATTTTGTTATCTGATTTTACTAGCTATTGTTATTTTTAGCACAGGATGGATATATTATCATATATGGGGGTTCAACATTAAACAGTTCTGGTTACGTTGATAATGTGTTTTCTGACATTGCAGTATTAAATACAAATTCCTGGATATGGTCTGTTCCAAGTGTTTCTGGACCAAATGTACCATCACTCGCAGATCATTCTGCTGCATTATACAAAAATTATATGATACTTGCATTCGGTAGTTAATTTTTTTATATGTATATTTATCTAAAGAAAATTTATTAAAATTGTTTGAATTTTTTACATATGTAGGCGCAACCTCAGCATCAGATTTAGACACAAATAATATTTATATTCTTGACATACAGAATTACACCTGGGTTACTGCATTTAATATAACAACAACAACAAATCCACCTAAACCAGCACAAAGTAGCAATAATTTCCCAACTAGTCAAGCTAGTCAAGCAAATAATAATTCCTCAAATTTATACATTGGAATTGGTATTGGTTTAGGTGTAGCAGTAGTGTTATTTATTATTGGATTTTTTATTTATAAAAATCGACATAAAGAAGAATCTGTTGCGACACCGGGCACACTCAGAGATGATCTTATACGTGAAAACCATATGTCTACGGTTTATACACCTGGAATACCTCTATCCGAAACATATGCGCGAACTTCTATGTATGGAGTTCCTGTGCCTGGAAATAATTACCATGATTCATAGGTTATAAGTCCATACTTTATTTTAAAAAGATAATTGTGGGAAACCCGATTTATAGTCATAATTGGTTGGAGCTAAGAAGTACGAAGTGAAACCTTTTAATTTATTTTAATGAATTTAAAGAGTTTGTATGGATTTGTTTTTTTTTTTAAATAGATTACAAGATTAAAATAAAAAATGTATAGTAGAAAGCGAGGATTATTTTTTTTACGACATTAAAGTCCTAAAGTTTTAAAGACAATTTCAAACTTTAAAGAGTGACAAGATGATACACAATAGTGTTTTCCTTAATACTGTAACATTAAACTTCTATTGTTTGCTAAGTAATCAAAGAAAATAATTTTAACAATTAAAAAACATAACATCGTTGTTGCTCAACTTTCCGAACTCACTTTATCGAAGTATTTCTCCGTGTCCATAATAATGATGATCCTATTTTTGATAAGACATATTTTTGGCAATCTATTTTACCGATAGAAAATTTTACTGAATGCTTCTCAATTAAACTAATTTCCTTATAAACTGATTTTTAACACGATTTTTAATGATAGCTCTTTTAACCAACAAGGTCTTTTTCCCGAAATCTTATTTTCTCGATAAAAACTATTTCTGACATGTCACATATGTAAAATTATGGCAATTAAATAGCAATTTGGGTTTTTAATTTGGGCCAATTCTAAAAAGTCGCCGTGATGAAGCTTATTTCATTGTATTTAAATTTGGTGAAACTTCCATCAGCAAAGGAGCTTTCAACGATATAGTTTCGAAGAAATGGAATGTCAGAAAAAAAGTATCAAATAAACACGAAATGCCAATAAAATAGGCTATTATATAAATAATATTCGGAGAAATGGTAATTGCTGATAAATGACTTATCGTGAAAATTTACTACCGATACATCGGGGAAATCAGACATCAAAATTATGTCTTGTCGGTAAAAAGGGGCACCCTGCATTGTAAAACTTTTAAAGAATTGTTGGGATAAGATCCAGAAAAACGTATAGAAATTTATGAAACTATCTTAAAATGGAAAAATAGTACTAAAATTTTGGCTGATTTTTTAAAATCTGACGAAAAAATAGAAATTAAAAATTATGGTTTTGATAATATGAAAGATAGTATGATTCATACTAGCAAGTTTATTAATTATATAAACCAGCAGTCGCTTGAACACGTAACAGTAAATGAAAATTTTTCTAATAATAATATTTATATTGAAGATATTAGAAAGTATAAGGAAGTAATCAATGGTATTCATGTATTTGAATAAAATTCAAAAAAAAAAAAAATTACGCATATGGGGGCTTTTCAGTAGAAAAGGGGTAAAAAGTTTTTAGTACTTTTTTTTAATTTTTAAATTAAAATATCTTGACAACTACTAAAACAAATTTAATAAATTTTTTTTATTTTAATTTTATATCTATATAGAATTAAAATAAAAAAAAATTATTAAATTTATTTTAATAATTGGTAAGATATTTTAATTTAAAATACCCCGATCACTATAACGACCCTAGCGTCGCCCGTAAAAAATGGTAGCCGGACGGACATATCTGCCGGGTATGTAATTCAGATTTTATTATGTGCAACTTTGATTTACAAATTTCTCTATTATCGTTATTGCTATTGAATAATAAATATGCGGCTTCAATTTTTATATCTTTTAAAAATTTTATTTGTTTATATCTTTTCTTTTAAACATAATTATAAATCATAAAAAAAATTTTACTTGCAAAGAAAACTGTCCACACGCTAAAATAGTCATTTAAAATGTAATTACAATTATTTTTTTTTAGCCATCACTATAAAAATATTTGAACTTAAAATAAATATAAGGCTTCAATTTTTATATCTTTTAAAAATTTTATTTGTTATATCTTTTCTTTTAGACATAATTATAAAAAATAAAAAATTTTTTTCTTGCAAAGAAAAGTGTCCGCATGCTAAAATAGTCATTTAAAATGTAATTACAATTATTTTTTTTAGCCATCGCTATAAAAATATTTGAGCTTAAATAAATCCTTTACATAGTAAATTTGGAAATTCGAAAAAATAGAATGTAATTGCAAATTTTAACTATACACTAAAAAATATTATGCCCAGTACATCGTATTTTTATTAAAATCCTTCCATGTTCTGGGCATTGTTATGTGATTATTTAGTGCTACAATGTCATTATTCATATTTTCTAGTGATTTGAAATTTGAACGAACATTTTTTAACCATAAATGCCCTTTGGGCTTGTTGCGTGATTCTTCTAAAAGTTCTTTAGTCTTGGAAAATAATTTTGTAATTAGAATTTTATATATTTATAAACTTGGATAAAAATAAATATATATCTTATCCAATATTCTATATAAATAAGCAATTTCAATTTCATAATCATATATTTCATTCTCATTGCTATTATATTCGTTTTCATTAATTGGGTTTTGAATTATTTGAATTCTTGAAGATTCATGATCTGGACGTTCACAGTTTAAAAAATTTTCTTGATGAAACATGTTTACCAGTTCACCTTCATAAGATGAAATCAGTGGATAAGTTCCATTTCTTTGTACCTATATAAAAATATTGTTAAATTAATATTAATAATAATGATACATAACATTAATTTTTTTTATTACTTTTTTAAAAAATATCGGGCTAGCTTTCTCTACAGAATTGACCAAATGCTTGCATAAGAAAACCTGCTTTGAATATATGCAGGGTATGCACATATCCACTTGACTGGATCTGTAAAATACTTGTTCATATTATTAGATTGTGTAATTTTTGTCTCATATTCTTTCCATTCTTGTTTAAACTCTTTATGCCATGATACCAACTCACGATCCTGTTCAAGCATTTGAATTCGAAACAATTGTCGATCAATAACCTTTTTTACAAGAATATAACACAGATGATCAACTCGTGGTTTGTAAAACTTATATAAATAATCACACTTAATTTGGCGCCAATGTGATTCAACAGTCATAGTTGTTTTAATATGACTAATTTTTTTATCAGCTGCTCGAGCCCATAAATTCCATTTTTCTTTAGAATACCATTCCTTCCAAAAGTAAATCCATAATCGAAGCAGATCATTATTTTTGCAAAATTGCATTATTTCGCTAACACATTCTTTCCAAATTTCATCTGCATTTGTAATAAAAGTGCCATCAGGTTTTGGTAATAACATATGGCGTCTTGAATGATCCTCAACAAGTTCAATTGCAGGTTTTCATAGACTTAAAGGACACATTACTTGTGAATTGGAATTATCTATAACTCCCCAATTTGGATCTATCACAGAGCATTCCTGATATGCGATTTTTGGATTGTAACTATAATATATACTTTTTTTACTAGAAGCCAGTTGTTGTTTTATTGCTCGTCGTACATGCCAAATACACAACTGTAAATGAGCTTCAGGCCAAACAGCCCGTGCTGCATTAATTTCGCTATAATCCTTGTCAGTAAGTATAAAAGAAAAATTTTGCAAACCACATTCTTTTAAAGCTTGCATCCATTGAAAAAGAATATTTGTTATATTTTGATTTTTTCCTGCTGAAATCAAGAGATAGCTGAGAGGAAATCCAGCACCATCGATTATACCTAAAAGTGAATATAATTCACATGCTTGATCATTGGTACTATAAGTTGCATCAAGTTTATTATAAAATAGCCGGCTAAATAAAGATGTTAAAAATCCAAGAGGTGTAGAAGAATTAAGATTATCTACGATAATTCTTTGGTCAAATTCTTCTAATAAAAGTTTAGCTGATATTATAGAGTTAGAATCTCGAATATATACTTTGCGAAATTCTATAGACCACCAGTAGTAAGCTTGCTGAATACTAAAATTTTCATATCCATTAATATTATTATCTTGGACTTGACGCCAAATTTCAGGAACACTAAGATTAACATTATTCTGAATAAATTTTTTAATTTCTGATGTTGTTGAAACATGTCTTGGTCGTGCATGCAACATTTTATGAGAATACTTGACTTTAACTAAGTTTAAGCTTGATAAAATTTCTATGTTTATTAATCCCTTACAGTTATAACATTCTAAAAAAGCAAAAGTATCCTGCTGCTTGTTTAATTCTGGATGTTTTGCTTGCCGTTTCCTAGCTCAATTCGACAATTGCAAAAATAAATTAAAAGAAATGAACTTTTTTTTTGGGTTTTGTCTCTATAAGCCCATGAATACCCATCCCCATCAGAAACAAGAGAAACAATACGGTGACCAATTTCAAATTCAATATTTTCTTTTTGTGATTCGTTACTCTCTAAAATAGCATTATGCAAAGATGACAATTCAACATAAAATATTATATCCAATCCTTCATTTTCGCACTCATAAAACTCATTAGTGTCATTTAATGAGATTAAAGAATTATACACAGTTTTGGTAATGTCCAAATAGTCAATTATTACATCAGGTTCTTGTTTATTCTTCGAACGTGCCAATTTAATTTGAGTTCGGCATTGCAAACACTTTTTTAATATAGTTCCATTTTCATCCAAGAAATCATCACTAGATCGATTGGAATGACATCCAATGCAGTAGTTGGCTTGTTTATTTGACATAGTAAGACTTTTAATTTACAAAAGAAAATTTTTATTTAAATTCGACATAATCAAAAACAATTCAAAATAAATATGCATATAAAAATTTGAAATTTACATTTGTTTGCATTCGCAACAACAGTAACGGTTGTAAAAAAAAAATTTATTCGTTATTGATATTTATGTTTAACGACAATACAGGTAAAAAATTTTTACAAACATACGAAAGACTTTTTTGATTTGTAATCAATTGCCAATACGTAATCGGATCTGAAATCAAATCCGAAATCAGATCCGAATTACATACCCGGCAGATCTATCCGGCTACCATTTTTTACGGGCGACGCTAGGGTCGTTAATTTTTATTGGCTAGATCATGTCTAACCGGCAAAAATTTGGAAAAATTTGGGTAAACCATAAAAATTTGGATTAAGTGCAAAAATTTAGAAAAATTTGGAAAATTTTATTTCCAAAATTTTCCGTGGCCCTGGGTATTATTTACTGATTTGCATGATGTCGATCTTGACTAAAAATAAATTTAAATTCTGTTATTGTTAATACAGACGTGGTTCTTTCTCAAGTCGCGTTGTAATAAATAGCTGAAAACCATTTGAAAGACAAAATATAAAAGCTACTTAAGTAATAATCATATATCTTTACCTTAATTTCTATTTTACTATCTCTTTTATTATATTTAGCCTTATTTTATTTTCTTATTTTACAAAGTAGGATCAACGCGATTACCGATCGAGAGGATCAAGTCTCAAATTCTGGTGCTAACTTCACATGGAAACCACTCTCGGTTAAGTTGCGGCCCTCAACTTTGTTATTAAAGTCTGCTGGTCCTGAAAAAAGAGCCGGCTATGTGTCTTTTATGTTGAATAAAGAAGTGATGCAATTTTGCTTTTTTATTTTACAAAGTAAGAGTAACTATTGATTACTGGAGGGCACTAATCGAGAGTTTAACTTCAAGTCTCAAATTTGGTTTTTTTTTTATTGTCTTTTTTGTATTTTAATTATTTTCGTAGTTATTTATTTTTTTTTCATATTTAAGGCGCTCTAACTTCGCATGGAGACCACTCTCGGTTAAGCTGCGGCCCTTTTCAAAAGAATTAATGGTTTGACAGTGGGTTTGACAGCTTAGTAACCACTTCAATCCTCAAATTCAGGCGCTTCAACTTTGTTATTAAAGTCTGCTTGTTCGGAAACAAAGAGCTGGCTATGTATCTTTTATATACTTGTTGCAAAACTATTGGGATAATTTTACTATGTTTGGGATTTTGAGAATTTATAGTTTGCCAACAAGTATAATCTTTTACGTTAAATAAAAAAGTGATGCTATTTTGCTTTTTTATTTTACAAAGTGGTGGGTAGTGATTGGCGCCGTAATCATGTGATGCTAATTGTCACGTGGTAAAATATATAATAATCAACAATCTAATTGTTGATTTTTTATATTGTATCATGTGACAATTAACATCACATGATTACGGCGCCAATCACTAGTGGTGGGCACCAATCGAGAGTTTAACTTAAAGACTCAAATTCTGGCGCTCTAACGTCACAACTCTTGGTTCTGTTGCTGTACCGATACGGAGAATTACTGGGTTTGCGGGAGCAAACGATAAGTTACCAATTTCATTTTCTTGTTCTGAATTTCTTTTTTTTCTTAATTAAAACTAATTGTCATGGTCAAGATCGGTTCTACGGCAAAATTGATCCTTCAACGGGATCTATGATGTTATCGTACGGCATGATTCGGGTTTACTAATCGATGGTTTAATGCGTGTAACCATGATCAATCAAGAATCAAAAGATAAGTAGCGGATGATTAATTAATTATGTGATTGAAGTAAAATTAACTATCGTGTGATTAATTATGATGCAATTAATCTAGATCGAATATTAAGTATATAAGGAACCTTTTTGCTTATAAAAGGACGTAACAACACATAATGGAACTAGAATTTATGGATGGTTACGACTCTTATGTGCGTGGCAGGGGCACATGAGGAAATACAAAAAAAAATATTTTCTCTCAAAAGCGTCTAAACGGCATACTAGGAGAAGACATAACAATCCCGGCGATTTTGGATAACTCCAATTAGTGGTCGGAAAGGGCCGCCACACTAATGCTTCTCTTTTGTAGATCTTTTCTTTGCTGCAATGCAAGTCGAGAGCTTTTAAATATTTGAATCTGGATGAAAAACTGAGAACGGTGAATACTAGATTATTATTCTTTCATTCTCATTTTTTTTTCAAGAGGAATTAACACTTTTTTCTCTTTTGAGATTTCGAACTGCGATATATTTAAGAATTGAGCAAAAAGCAAATGATAAGTGCTGTATTGCTTTTTTTATTCCTTTATTATGGGCTTGCTTTTTTTTTTCTAATAAAACTACTTTTCCTTAGTAATGCAAACTATGAACATTTGATTGTGGATCGAATATGAGCGGAGTACTAAAACGATCGAACGATGTGAATGTTCTCTTATTTTTGGGCGATTCAAACGAAAACTAATTTGAGTTGTTTTTTAAGTTATTGTTAGAACACGAAATGTGCACTTTTGAACTTGGACAAAGGCTTCAAACAACGTAAGCGAATTGCGATTTTATGTTTTTAGAATTGATTTTTTAGAGAATAAATTTTAGATTCGTGAACATTGAAATCAAACCGAAAAAAGTTTTTCAATATTTCTATAAAGGGGCAAAAAATACGATTATGATTATAACGTAGTCATTGTGATCTTATGATGTTGGATTTGTTACGAGGGTAGTATAGTTTCCATGGTACAAATACGGATGTAATTATTAAATTTTTATTCTAATAAAAAATAAAATAACATTCACGCGATTTCGATTTAATTTGTATGGTATTTTTTAATGTAACCCTTTATTATAAAAAAAGGAATTAAAAATTACAAATATGTGATGCAAATTATGAAGCCATAGATCTAAAAGCTATTAATTTGACTTTAAATTGTGAAACCCGAGACCCAAAAGCTCAGTAAATTGTAAATCTTAGTAAAGATGATCTCCCGAATACGATCTGATTACCGTTACCTAAACGACGTGAATTATGAAAAGCTAAATTGATAATACTATAATACGGATAACATGAATTATAAAACGATATCTGAAAGATGTAATCGTAAAATTTAAGATCAATAAAGCTATCAATATAAACTTGAAAATCGAAGACTTAATATCAATCGCATAAACTTGAAAATCGAGAAAAATTTAGACTTAACGTCAATCGCAAAGAAATCCGAGGCTTAGTAGAACAGCCCATCAAAGTTATCTAAAGTAGAAAATTTGAGATTCAGCTATCCAAACAATCTTTGCTTTGAAAACTTGAAACCTAGTAAAGCTATCTGCCCAAAAGATCAGTGAAAATTTTATGTTAAAAATCAAACAACTGATCAAATGAGATAGTTTGATAACGGAATGAAAGGTACATACCTTTTTTTGAAATTTAGAATCTGCTTTCAAGAGAATCGCTTGAAAGTTTGTGAATTGTAAAATCCAGATTTGATGAAACTATGCATCCAAACGCGAATTGCAGAGAACCAAAAACTATCTACCCGAACATTGTAATAATCCAGAAGCATACTGTAAACGCACCCGAATAATTTAATTGTGTAAAATATGAACACTAACAAAAGCTAGTCAACTCAGTTGTGAACTTCGTGATTGTAAAATTCTTGCCTATCCAAACGATCTAAAATTTGAAAAATTTAAAGATTAGCATACGGATGATTGAATTTATGATGTAAAAATCAATACTTAATAAAGCTTTCTACCTGAATGTGAGTTGTGAAACTCTATTGTGTAGTAAATCGATTCACCCGAATTGTGATTGTGGAACTAATTGCAAGATACTTCATAAAGATCCTGTTGTCTATAAATTCGATCCCTGATTATAAATGTCTATAACCAATAAAAGACTTGGTTTGTTAACGATAAAGAAACAAAAGTATAAATTAATTTGAATTAAAGAATTCCTTGTTTCGTCTTATTAGTGAACGCCCTTAAGTGATCGTTCAAAGCTTATAAGTAAAGTGCCTTAAGTTTTGTTTCCCACTTTAACTAAATGAAACTAAGTCGAAATCAAAATACTTGGAAGCGTATATAGTTAATAAATATCAATTATATAATAAGTATTTTCAAAAAAAGTTACATCACGTCACTTATGTATACAAAGTTAATTTACTCATCGTAGGGCGAGCGAGGAATACTGTTTCACTCACGAGATTACTGGTAGTAATAATTACGTATTTCAATTCGTTTCAACCTTTTTTTTATTCATTATACTTGAATCGATCTTTTGTCGCAAGAATATAACTTCATGACTCGTAAATCGAATACTAGAGACCTCAACAAAAGGAAGTTTAATAGATGGAAATTGTTATGTCTAGTAATATTAAGTTTAAAAATTCATAAACAAACCGTTTAAATAATGGGTAGCTAATACTTTCGAAATTGGAATATTCTTTCGAAAAAATTCTGTGTCCCTGCCACAAATCAGGGACGGTGATTTTCTGTGATTCACAGAAAACCACATAATTTCACTTAAACACAGCAAACTATAGAAATCACTCTTAGTTACCACAGAATACCACAAAATTCTAAAAAAAGTCACAGAATTTTAAAAAACATAGTGCAGAATATAGCACTTGACCACAAATTCGCATCGACGCTGGAAATTTCGGAATTATGTCTTCGCAAATTCGTGACATAAAAAGTGCTTCAGTAGATGCATCGGGACGAGAGCTTTCAGAAATAAAACTTTGAAGGGGCTGGTACATTATTGAAATAGTGGAAAAAATCAAGGAAAACTGTAATAAGTAGATCATTCATTAATTTGATGTAACTGATATATTTAAGCTACCTCATATAGAGCTTATATATGATATTAGTTTCTGTGATTTAATTTTTTTACTAAACTTTGAACGAAAACATCTCGACAACCACCTATGCAAATTTGATGAAATTTTTTATTCTAATTCTACAAGACTATAGAATTAAAATTTAAAAAAATTTATCGAATTTGCACAGGTGGTCGCCAAGATAATTTCGTTCAAATTTTTTAAAAAAGTTATTATTACTGTACTTCTGTTTAATAGGCGGTTTTCAAACTTTGAATGAAGATATCTCGGCAACCATCTAAGCAAATTGGATAAGCTTTTTCTTTTGTTTTAATTCTACATATCTTATAATCAAAACAAAAAAAAAAAAAAGCTCATCGAATTTGTATAGGTGGTTGCCAATAAAAATTTAAAAAATTTTGATGTACGTAGGGTTACACGAACTGATGTACGAAAAAAAACCTTATCGTTATGTAATCTAAAATTTAAACTATTAAATATAACACTCATATATCTCAAACCGCATCCTAACCTTTAAATTTTAGCAAAAAACATTAACACCAACAACACCATAGGTGCAATACTTTTAATATTTTTATAAATTTAATATAAAACAACTATTTGATTTAGCTTAGTTTAATTAATTTTTGCATAATTTATATCAATTTTAATATTAAAAAACCAATTTCACCAATTTTAACATCAAATAATTTCAACAATTTCGACAAAAAATTTTCATTAAGACTATTAAGACTGTAAGACTGTAAGAAGAATGATTTCACCACCATTTAGTGATCTTGATATAGTAATCGGAGGTTAGTAAACAATTATGCATCATTATTGTGAAACATCAGATATTAAGGTTTTTTTCGATTTTCCCTACCTTTCATAGCATAAGGACTGCGTTGCGAATACAAAGTAAAATTCCAATTATAGTATATAATTGGAAATTCTACCTTGTATTCGCAACGCAGGAAGATGCTCTCCTTATGCAAACCCGGGTTACACTCGACGCATTCCTGATGCTATAAACAAGGTAGGGCAGCTGTTAAAAATCGAAAAAAACCTGTGCTTCAGATATCATCATGAAATCGTTATATTATATCCTTTTTCTTGTTATATTTAGCTCGGCATATTTTTTTGTTATTTGCCAAAATGTACCTAGTCCTCGACGTGAACAGGCTAGTACATTAGTTGGTACTAGACTTTATTTCTTTGGTGGAAGCACTTCTTCTACAAGTTGTTCTAATGAAGTTTGGTATCTTGATTTATCGAGTTCATTTAATATTTCTACACCCCCGTAGCATCGTGATGCTGCAATGTCATTAGGATATACCTTTGGTAGCTCTTGCCTTAGTCCTATTGATAATTCTACAGTTTTTTTAGTCGGAGGA